CAGCGTGCGCTGAACTGAGCCCACCCTTTAATCCTGAGGTTCATCTGCTGGGGCCGAGCAAGCTTGGACAGTGGCAGTGAGGGTCTCAGGACGTAAGTTTGTTTAGAGTGACCTTCTCTTAGATGGATTGCGTTACAGGGCTGACGAGCTCCATCTGCCCGGGGGGCTGGGAATCGAACCCGGGTCTCAGCGGTGAGAGTCCTGCACCCTAACCACTAGACCACCAGGGGCATAACCAACTACTATCAGCTTTCTTAGTAAAAGTCCTGGTTGCTACTTCATTCCCCCTAAGTCCTGTCCAGGCCAACTCCTCCAGTGATTATACTGAAATTCATAACCACTTTTATGCCAGTTAACTTCATGGAAGCAGGAAAATTAATGGTGAAATTTTACTTCCTCTAATCCCAGCACAGAGTTTCAACAATAATGCTATGCAGTTTCCACTGAAATGGTCACACTCTAGGGTAAGTCACACCTGTAAGAATTAACAGCTCTCACAAGTGTATTTGTACAGTATGTCACTCAGCTGTTAAAAACACAGTTGCCCACACAGCTGCATATGAGCAATATTCATACCAGTCATTACAAGGAAAAAAGTCCCTGTCAGAAAATTGTCTGCTCTGGGGGTTGGGAGTCACAGTTACATCATCTTAAAACACTTAACAGCTGGACTGTTCTTTCAGGTAAAGCCTGCAAACCAGGAAAGAATTTGAGCACATGCCTAACCTGAGGAAGCTAACTGCAGAATCCAATAAACTGCTCAGTTCCTTGGAGTCTGGCATGTGCACAGCTGAATGATTTGACAAGAACAAAAGTGAGGAAAACACCACTTCTCATCCAGGTGCAAAACAAGCAAATACTGAATATTCTTTTCAACTGGCTCAACCAACCATCGCACAAAAGGGACAAGTTCCTATATAAGCACGTGTTAAACACTATTATTAGTTAAACTATTAAAACAAATGTTCACATTGACATAGACATGGCTAAGTTCAAGTGTGTTATTTTCCTGAAAGAGCTACAGCAAAACTGAAAAAGTCAATCCCATTTAATTTACCAAGTTTAACAGATTACTTTAGATTCTGCTTGTTTAAAGCAGACAGGAAAGGTAAAGTTTCCGGTAAAAGACTGAACCAAAAATTTAGGGAGCCCCACCACGTTTTGGTTTTCATGGAATCCATCTCAATGTAAACGCAGTTCTGGCCTTGTCCTTCCAGGTGTGATGTGGTGTTGGGTCAGTTAAATCTGGGAAGGGAGAGGATATGGGAACCTGCCAACACTAACAGATGTTTCCGGCGGATGCACATTCTCAAAGTTTGAAATGCTGAATAAAAATATTTGCATTTTTTTCAGGATACGCTGAGGTATTTTGGAAATTTAGTATATTTCTTTGCAGTGAAAACAGAATTCACCCTCTTGTCTTCCCAAACTAACCCTGCAGTTGGACTGAAACATAAGTCAATGTGTAAAACAGACTATCTATAAAAAATAAACAGGATACTTAGCTTTATAATAATTTCACCTTCCAGTATTTTTAAATACGACACAAAAACTCAGGTGCTCTAAAGCAGAAAAAGAATGGCTCCTATGTCCTTCATGGACAGAACAAATGCAGTCATTTGTGCACTGTAAAGCATATCTTCCATTTTAACTATCATTTTAATTAGCTGTTAGTCATTACTGCAATTTTAATCCATGCAAACCACTATAATATGGCTCAAATAAAGAGTTTTGTTACAATGAACAGTTGTCAAAAGATCATCTTATTTAAAACTGCACAACTTTTTACCTCAATATTCAGAAGTTACAGAACAATACTGCATTAGGGAAGTTTCTATGAAAGCTTTGACGATGTAATTCTGTTTACCAAGATAAGTTTTTCATAGTTCCTACATTCTCTCTTTCAGTGAGATCTTGCGGTTTAAAGTTCTTTGAACGTTATCACATATGCATTAAAAGTTATTTGCAACAGAGGTGAGAAGAGTTCAAGTTAAATGAAGCCCTGTAAAAGTAAAAAGTAATGATCAGGAGTCCAGCAATGGACAGTCATCGAGAATGCTGCAGGTAGAAGGGATGTGCATATGTAACCTTTCATGAAAAAAACTACCTACAAATTTCTCTAAGCACTTCTCTTTACATAACAAAGATAACCAAGATGCAGAAATGGATTTTCATTAACAATTATTCTGAAGGAATTAATCTAGAGAAATACTGGCATAGAAACTCCAGAAATGGTGATTTAAAAACGGGAACACTTGCTGCTCTCATTTCTTCACAACACTCCAACGGAACAGAGATGCGTTGACTTTGGTACTGTACACAGCTTCCTTTCTCCAGGTTAAGCAGCACCATTGGAGTTGCAAGCTCTGACATTCTCCTATCAAGTTACAGCAACTCCAGCAACTATTTTAATGTTTCCAAGCATGCCCAAAAATCCCCTTCTCTTCTTCGAAATAATCACACATTTTTTTAGCAACACTAGCACAGGATTAAGTATTCACAAACAGATATTATTTCATCAGAATTAGAAGTTCCAACAGATGCATACTTATTTTTCCCTGGTGCTCAAGTCTGAAACCCATGATCTAATGGTTTGATCTAATTCAATAGAATTTACAAGCTCCAAAGAAATCAATTATATTTTCTCTGAACACCTATAAAATATATTTATCCATAAAGTTACCTTAGCCATAGCTATCAATAAAAGCATTAGGGATAGCCATATGACTATGCTTGGTACCAATACTAACTGCAAGATTTGAGGTCAAGCTGATTGGCGCTTTCTGTTTTAAAGGTTGCATCTTAATTGTGCTAGTGAATATAATGGTAGACTCAAAATTACTACTCAGGGAATTCATCCTTTGCAGAATGCCCTTCTACATGCAAGACTGTGAAAGTATTGTCAGTGAAAATCAGCATTTGGCTTTCTGAGGAATGGGACTTACAGAAAACACACAAGTTGACTACCCAGAACAATGAGCCAAAAACTTTGCAAGAGAGTACAGACGGAGGAGTATGACTTAGTTCTGTCAACATACTATGTATTGAAAAATACAGAACATACTGTAAAGTATATTAACATTGTATTAACATATTAACATATGTTAACATTCAAGTTAACATATTAACTTGAAATCTGAGTAAGTGTAAAAAGTAATCTCTTGCAGAGTAGAACTACGATAAATCACTTTCTAATTTCCAAAGGATTACAAATGTAAAGCTGCTTCCATTCCTCTGTATCAAACATGAAAAAAGATCACTTCCTGTTATCTGTGATAAACTAGACAAGGAATTGCACCTCCTGTTTTGCTTAGTACACACTGGTCATATTGACTGCAATTTCATCACAGGCTTGTTCCTTTCATTTGATTTGTAAGATGAGTAACACCAAAACCAACAGAATCAAGACTCTTGTCTCCAGCACCATCAGCAGGCAGGGAAAGCTTTCAGTAAAGAAGAACTGACTTGACTGTAGAGTCAAGAATGATTCAAGTTTCACTAAGTTTTCACTTCTGAGCAGGACAACAAAAGCTTCTATTTGTTCCCTTTCTGTCCTTGTCTAGTAAAAAACTTAATCCAAGATGAAGCATGAAGTAACCAGAATAAAACAAAGAGTCATTGTTTGTTAATCTATTTCAAAAGAATTTACTATCCACCATAAATTGACAAGCAAACTTTGACAGGTAGATACATTTTTAGAAGACAGTCAAGGATTTGCTGAAGTATTTTAAACAGACATGCTAATTAGTATGGTTAATGAATTACAGGGAGAGATAATTTTTCAGTTCAATATAGCATTTCCTATTCACTTGCTAGTTCTACCAGTATACAAGAAACTGAGTCTGCCTACAATAAAATGAGAAGTCTTGTGGATAATGACATAATAATAATAATGGTGTAGTAATAGTGTTTAAAACAGTTTCTTCCACCCTATAAGAACTGGAAATTTAAAACTAGGATTCAGATCTTTCAGATCTTAGAAATCCTCATAAAGCAGAGGAGAGGGAGGAAGTCTGTATATATTTTAAGAAGCTTCACACCACAGCAGTAAGTCTGTACTCACTAACAGACAAGAGAACAACTCACTTGCTCAAAAAAGTAATCCCTCACAAGGCCATCAAGAAAAATGCAGAGTAACCCATTTGTTAAACACTAGAAAGACAGATCAAAACAACCCACAACTTAAATTTTCTTACATTGTAGATACAAGACAGATGTTAATTTCTTGAATGTTGTTGAACTCTCTTACAATTCTGATCCTATCTTCTGATTTTGTATTTCCATCAAGTCTTCGATAATCCAGCCCAGATGCCATGCAGTACTGTTCCAGCACATCCAGCAACTGAGTGGAAAAATGAAGGGGGAAAAAAATTATTTACTTAATACTACCTTTTTAATTAAACATGATCACAGAGGCCATGATTATCAAATATATTTTCAATGGACCAAGCACTGCAAATGAAACTAAATCTTCACCATTTTGGTAACAACATTCATGACTCTCTTTAGTCATGACTCTACAGCACTCAAGGTGATTAATACTGGTCTGCTGCAGCCTCACTCCACCCTCCAGCCCTGGCTGCCTGTTTCACCTCTGTCACTCAATTAGTTCAACCCAAGAAGCAGGCAGGGAACAGCTTCCTCCCATCTCAGCAAGTTGGAATTACTTGAAATACAGTAAAGGAGCACTGGAGCCAGCACAGAGTACAGAGTCAGAGTCCAGGGGCATGGACAGAAAGAGACTGCAGTAACCAGGAGCCAGTCTGGTAGCGAACATGATAAAGCACAGCCTGAGACATACGAGTTCTTTACTGCTGCATCTAAACATTAAACTTGCTTTCCGTCTTAAAGCCAAAAAAAATTAAATATTTAAGACTTTGAACTATCATTCAAACTGCTATTTCTTAAAAAATACTTTTTAGTGCTATCATTACAAATATTTAAATATTGCT